TACTCTCCACTCTTAATAATTTTTATGAATACAATTCAAGGTCCTTAACAAGCTATTGTGAGTGGGGGAGAAGCTGGACCAGAGATGCTTCTGCCTAAAACAGCAGAAAAACTCAACAGCAGCAGGAAAGTGAAGTGACAGAGCCACAAGCCATACTCTTCCAAATGCTGCAGACAAGAAAAGAGAGATGAGTGGTGTGAATCTGGGAAGTACAGACCCTACCTCAGTGTGACAACCCCTCCCCCACCCACACACAAGTCCAGGGGAAGTACCTGGCTCCATCAGGTTCCCCTCTACCCCACAACCCATGCCAATTTGGAGTGACATTGACTGAAAGGGAAATTGTAATCTGGTGGGGAAGATGTCTAGAAATCTCAAGAGAGCACAATTCCCTGCCAACCCTTGAGGATCTCAGTGGAAGCAGGAAATCTACCAGGGTTTTTCCTGTGGTCTTTCCCAGATGGGTGGGAAAAGGGGGAATGTGATTCTAACCACCTACAAGGCACCATCGGATCAAACCCTCATGCTCCACTGCCCATCTGCTGCTCATATTAGCAGCCCTGTCCAGGAGGGCATCTTCTCTTACTGAAGGGATGTAAGGATGGGGGCTGGACTGGGCAGGACTGCTGGCAACACAGGGCTAAAATTGCCCATGGATAGGAGGCCCCAGATTCTTTGATGAATTAGATAAACACATGGCAATACAGATCCCCTAAAAAGGCATAACTTTAAATGTCAGCATCACTAACAGACCAGCAACTGCAGCAAAGTCCCCATCCTTCCCCTCAGAACCTCAGGGAAAAGAGGAGGAAGATAAGGGAGTATGGGGCCTTCACCTCAAGCTGGAATGGGAGACTAGTGAACTTGGCAAGATGAAAATAAATAGCAAAGCAATTATGCAGACACATTATGGGAGAACAGAGAAGAAAGTGTGCATGGTGTGTGGGAGAGAGACCAAGTTCCATTCTGCAAAAACAGAGGACCACACAAACAGAAGAAAATTCTCCAAAAATGTGCATAAGAAGTTAATGAGAAGTTGATTTAATAAAATAGGAGCTAAACTGTAAGATGGATAAATAAAATGAAAGGTAAATTGCAGAGCTTTGGAAACCAGTTGAGGATGAAACCACCACCGTATCAGAACATGTGAAAACACCAGAGCCAGGTTCAGGTTGATCAATCAAGAAACAGGTTTGATTTTATTATGTAAAAGTACATAGGTAGCCACTTGAAACACATAAAATAATAAATCTTCCATTTTAACCAAAGGAATACACATACACCCTAAGAAGGAAAAAGAAAAAAAACTCAAAACATAGGATGCAAAAGAAGTATTTAGAGAAATTATTTAAGAGAAGATAAAATTAGAACCAAACATACCAACCATATTAAAAATGCAAATGCATACTCAGGGTAAACTGGTAACAAAGTGGCTCACAAAGGATAAAAATAAAATTATGGACAAGGATATCCTATCAGGAAAAGAAGGATGGGTCCTGATTTTAAAAGTGGGCAAGTGTGAATTCCAAGTACACATTTAGAATAGAATCAAAATATGATGCATTATTGTTAAATATCATATAGCAAAAAGAAGGACAACTAAAAAAGAAATACTGCTAATAGGGAGTATAGTCCCTCCTGGCTCAATGGCTCAATGTCAAAGGACAGAACTCCAAGGTCACACTCTAGGAAGGACCCATATGTACAAACTGATTATATATATTTTTTTAATTTCAAAATATACCTCAATAAATTATAAATATTAGGAGTACAAAAGGATGGTGCTCATGGCACCATGTGATACAACTAGAAATTTTTAACTTTTTCAAAAAATGTGGAAATTTTAAAACCTTCAAAAAAGCTTAGTTCAAAGAAGATATCAAAACCAAACTTACAGAACATCTAGAACATGAAGATAATAAAAACGTAATACAGTAAAACTTATGGATTTCTTTGATGAGAAGAAAATTGACAGCCAAAAATACTTAATGATTAAATCAAAATAAACAGAAATATATGAACCAGGCACCTACTGAATAAGGTAGAAAAACAATGACAAAAGAAACAATAAAAGTGGAAGAGAAGCTACAACTTGGATGAGCCTTGAGGACATTATACTAAGTAGAATAAACCAGTCACAGAACAACAAATACTGCATGATCCACTCATATGAAGTACCTAGAATAATCAAATTCATAGAAACAGACAGTAGAATGGTTGTTGCCAGAGGCTGAGAGATCGTGTTTAATGAGTACAGAGTTTCAGTTTTTTAAGATAAAAAAATATTGTGGAGATGGATGGTGGGGATAGTTGTGAAACAATATTAATTTACCTAATGCCACTGAATTGCACATGTAAAAGTGGTTAAAATGGCAAATTTTATGTTTTGTGTATTTTTTCACAAGTTTTTATGTGTGTGTGTATATATATATATATATATATGGGCAGGGGAGGCTGTGTGGGCAGGCTCTGTACTTTCCCCGCTTTTGCTGTGAATGTAAACTCTTCTATGCACATGTAAAAGTGGTTAAAATGGCAAATTTTATGTTTTGTGTATTTTTTCACAAGTTTTTATGTGTGTGTGTATATATATATATATATATATATGGGCAGGGGAGGCTGTGTGGGCAGGCTCTGTACTTTCCCCGCTTTTGCTGTGAATGTAAACTCTTCTAAAAAATAAAGTCTTACATATTTAAAAAAAAATGTTAAAGTAAGAGTAGAGAAGAATTGACATATTAAAAATAAAAGCAGAAATTAAAAAATTCAAAACATAATAGTAGAATTTGTTGATTCTAGGCAATATTTGTTAGAAGGTCCAGCATAGCAGGGGAGGGATTGTTGATAGCAGAAAAAATGAAATTTAGGAAACCATGTAAAATTTTAAATGAGACATTGGAAAAGCAGACAAGAAAGGGTGAAAAAATGGGCAGAAGTATGGAATATCCTGCCTTCCCGTGATTCCTAAAGTGGTGTGTGCCAGTCACCAGGACCACGGTAGTTCATTAAGACTGAAACTGCAGACAGTAACTGGTGGGAGACATCAGAGCCTTCTCTCCATTTTATGATAAGCTCTGAAAGTCAAACCTCCATGCAAATGAAGTCAAGGTAATTAGAAAAGGAGCCATGATCAGTGAGCTCAGACCTAGGGAGGACTGGAGGATTTTATTCTAGAAAGAATGAAGCAATGAGAGAACATTATGTGAGAAATTCCTTCTGGAGGCCCATGCCCTGAAGACAGCTCTGGTTAAAGCTTCAGGTCGGTCTGCTTTCCAACTAACCATGGTCACAGGAGTAGAATGACCAGCTACATCTGACACATCCATGCTGTCTGGCGTTGCTTGGCCCTCTCTGGCTCACGCTGCCATGTGAAGTACCTGTCCTGGCACGTTGTCGCAGGAAGGGTCCGGTCAGCCAAGGGACAAGAGGCCTGCAGCCTGTTCCCCGAACTGATGAATGACTCTAAGTGTTTGGTATTTGCAAATATAAAAAATAAAATACTTGGTTAACCAAATCAATAAAAACAGAAGAAACAAATGCACACAATTAGAAATGAAAAACAAATAACCACCAATGCAGACAAAATTTTAAAAGTCTAAGTTCTTATATTGCAAAACTATGCAAACAGTTGAAATTAATTTTCTATTTAAAAAAAGATATGTAACTAAAAATGACTCCAGAAATGCTTGAGGACCTATCTGCCCAATGGGAGAAATCCAGAATTGTACCAGTAGATGCCAAGACAGCTACCAGGTGAGTTCTTTTATATTTAAGGAGAAGATGATTCTAACATGAAGTAAATGGTTGTAGAATAGAGGTTTTTTTGTTCCTCTTATTTGTTTGTTTAGTGTAGAAAAGCAAGCTGCAAAATGACTAATATCAATTATGAATATTGATAGCAAAAATCATAAATAGGCATCAGCTCAGGAGCATAACAGTGATTTTGTCTTAAGGAACCTTTTAATATAATGCAGCATACTACTAGACAAAAGAGGAAAACCTTCTGATCATCTCCATGGATACTGAAAAGACTGTGACAAAAAAATCTAACATACATTTTCTCCAGAAAGCCTTAATAGTTTGAGAATACACAGACACCTTTTTTATTATGACAAAGAAAATACATGTCTTCATGTAAGTTAAACAGTGAGACATTAACCATCCCATTAATGTCAGGAACAAGATAGGTATGCCATCTGACTCACTATTATTTAGCTTTATACTTCAATGCAATTCGCTATGAAAAATAGGGGAATTCTTGGAAAGGAGGAGGCCAAAGAAAATCTTAGAAACAATAAAAATTACAATTGTGGTGGCTAATTATGACATAAATATACAAAATCAACTGCTTTCCTTTACATCTGGTTAGAAAATAAAGTGGAAGAAATCATTCCATTAAAAATAGTAGCCAAATAATAAAATACCTAGATATAAACAAGAAATTCACTGGACTTTGTCTACACAAAACCGTAAAACTGAGTGACATAAAATCAGATTTGAATACTAGCTTAGCTTGCAGTATTCTTGAATAGGAAGACTCAATTAATCTATAAATCCATTGTGACCCCAATTAAAAAGAAAAATAACATCTGTGTGTGTGTTTGAAAGAGAAAAAGAAAGGGAGAGAAAGGGCAAGAACAGGTGAGTGGAGGGGAGCACTGACTTGAAAGAATTGATGCCAGTATGAATATTTGATATAAATATGAAGAAAACTGCAGAACTTAAAAGCATTCATAGAGCAGCAGATTAATAAAACAGAAAATGACCCAAACACGCAGAGGACTTCAGCTTACAAATAAGGTATCACTTTGAACAAAGGGGGAAAAGACGATACTTGTATTACTTACCCGAATACACAGTTACATATTTTGTTGGCACAACTGACCATTTGGAGCGGGGGAAAAAAATGCATTTTTACCTCTACTTCCCACAGTAAATGAATTCCAGGGAATTAGAAGATGCAAAGATAAATAAATGAAACCATAGATGTAGAAGAAAATATGAGTAAGTTTATTTATAATCTCAGAATGGAGAAGACCCTTTAAAACTGGAAACAAATCCCAGGATCTATCAAGGAAAATAGAGATAAATTGACAACACAAAACTTTAAACTTTCTACATGCCAATAAATAAATGAACCAATAAATAACATCAATAGACGAATAATAAAAAAAAATATTTTCAAGACATAAGACAGTTGTATGTTTGCCTGAGCACACAGGCAAATTAATTAAGAAAAAGCCAAGTAACCCATTTGCAAGTTGTATAAAGGACATAAATTTACAAAAATTGAAATTACCAACAGACATTTGAAAAGCTGTTCAACTTCACTCATTATAAAACAAACTAAATCACCATAATATTGCAATATCACTTTTCACCAATTAGACTGAAAAAAAAGTATTACGCTTGACAATACCCATTGCTGAGAAATTGGCACTCTCAACCGCATTCTTGGTAGGTGTATCCATTTTTATCAGTTTTTTTGAAGATCATCTGGCAATCTCTACCAAAATGTTAAATGCACGTTGCCTTAAATCTGGCAAATTCCTTTTCCAAATTGGAATTTATACTGAGATATAGTCACAAATGTATGCCAAGATAGAAGTACAAGGATGCTAATTATAGATATGTGTATAAAAATAAAAACTGGAAATACTCTATATGTTCATAATAAAAGACTAATCAAATAAATTATAGCCCCACTGAGATAGATAATGGAATGCTAAGCAGCTATTAAGAAGAATGAGGTCTTTATATGTTTTCATGGAAAGATCTCAAAGATAAAACACTAAGTGAAGAAAGCAAAGGGTCGAGTTCTGTGCATAGTGTGAGTGCCAAGAAAGGAGTGCCTCTTCCTGTGCCCCCCACTCCAGCTCCCTCCCTTGCTCTCTTCTTTTCAGGAAATGATCCCCCTCCCCAGAGGCTCACTGGTGGTGGCCTGTGAGGAGAGAAAGCAGACAATGTGGGAGGCCATGGCTTTTAGCCGTTCACATGTTTGTATGTGTGCATCTTTTCCTTATTATTACTTTTAAAAATGACAGAGTAGTTATTTGGGTGGTCAAAATACAAACTACTTCTAATGTTTTTTAAATGTTTTTCTGTTTAAAATATAAAACCAAAAAGGTTTGTTTTTTTATAAACAAAAATATAGTAGGGATAGCAATAAGAAATGAAGCAGTCTCTTTATATATAACACTTCTACTTGTTTCTAAAGACAATTTAAATTTAATAGGAAAAAGAAAAAATATTGTGCATTGTTCATCCATCCCATGTAGAACAGATAAACTCTGAGAAAGACCCTGCTCCAAATGGCATACTGCTGCAATGCCCTTATTTATCAACTGTATGTTGTAAACAAGGTATCCTCTCTGAGGCTGCACACACAGGTGCACACGCACGCACACACACTGAGCACATGCAAACCTCCGTCTTCCCCAGTGAAAACAAATCCATGTCCATTACCCAGAAATGAGTGAAATAAATGGCTGGAAAAATCTGTGCAATTCCTTTTTCCCTGAAAACCTAACCTTCCCTCATGATATACCCATTTCAGGGTTAGATGCAAGCTAACCATCCCCAGGAGTCCAGAGCCTTCTGCAGTCCTGAGCTCTGAGAAGTTACTGAATGAAACAATTGAACAGGAGAGATTTTCTTGTGTCTCCTTCTGATGTTAGAAAAAAATAAGGATAGGAAGAGGCAAAATGACTACTGTCATGTAACTGGGGAACTGTCACTGTGTAGGTTTAAAATGAACATTTCCCTCGCTTTCAAAAGGTACATCTGCAGTGAATTCGCCCATCCAACCAACTTCCTGGGCTGAAGCTGGGGTGGACGAGTCATGGGGAAGCAGACGCCCAAGAGCCAGAAACTGGAGTTTCTGGCCTGCTAGCCCCTCTTGCTCATTATCACTGGGCTGTTGTTCAGGGAAGCCATCAGCCACACCCTCCCCAGTTCCGGCCACACAGGGAGTCAAGAAGAGGCTTCAGTCCCTGCCCCTGCCCCTGACACATGGAGAAAAAGCATAGAATACTTTCATTGTATATTGCACATTTGTACCAATCCACACAGTTCTAAGACTACTCAACTCTAGTAAATGTGAAGCATCCAATGCATCATTTTTTTGAAAACACACAGATGGTTTAATTTAGCTTTAGCTATTGCATTGGGCTGGTAATTCTAATAGAACTCTATTTGGCCTTTGGGTTTTGCAGAATAGAGCAGACTCACACAACTTCCCAGTGTTTGAGGGCAGCACAGGAAGCTTGGGGGTCGTCTGGGATCTACGGAAAACACCTTGACTTGACTAGGTCTGTCCTAGTTCAGAACCAGCACATACCTGTGTCCTTCCTGATTCCCCTGACAGCATAGACTGGCAGAAATGAGACTGGTCAAAGCATAATGAACAAAGCAAACCATGTCTCCCTCTTTCTTCTTTAAAAAGTGGCAACAGTGTAAAACTGTTTCTCTCTACCAACTGTCTTTGGCAAAGCAAAATAAAATCTGAATTGCAGAAAAACCAGCAGTTAGGTTTTCAGTTTGTTTTTTTTCAGCAATTACTTAAATGGATTTACTGAGTGTGGTTTATTATTACTAGTCGTTTCAATGTAGGTTTGTACACAGAGAAAATGTTATGAATTTTCATGTAGGCTTTCATGGCAAGTAACATGCAGGCATGCAAAACCAATTGTACAGGCCTCCCCTGGCAGTGCTGAGCTACCCACCCTCTCTGAAGGGCTCACCAGGCGGTGAAGCGTGGGCAAAATGACCTCTCAGATGTCCTGCTGACCTCAAGGATGCTCCAAGGATATCAAGTAACCTATCTGAGAGGACTAAACAAAAATGAACTGAGATCCTATTGCTGAATGTAACAAGGACACTGTAACCCACATAAATGATTGACAGCGCTAAGGTACACAGGAGTCCTCACGGTGAATGCTGCTGTGGGATTAGCACCCCAGATTCTCCCCAAGCCTAAAATGTCACGTCTCTAAAATTTCTACACTTCGGGAACCAAGTCCGAGTTAAGCGAAGTCTTTGGACACAGCCTCAACGAAGTTCGGAGCTGACATCAGGATACCAATGGTGCAGATGATTGTGAAGACGGAGAAGGCCATGAGGCACAGGCGGTCCACCACGCACGCCGCGAATTTCCACTCACTGCAGATGGCCTCGCTCTCGTCCTGGCAGCGGAAGCGGTTGGCGATGTAGCGCACCTCCTCCAGGATCTTGGCCAGGTCCGGGTCCCCCTCAGAGGGCTGCCCGCTGTGCAGGAGGTGCTCGTCGTGCGTGGGGGAGCAGGCCATGCGGCCGCACACAACCCCCGAATCCGGGGTGGGGGCGCAATGCAAACCGTCCAGGCCACGGAAGCCGATGTAGAGCAGGTTGCCGTTGGCAGTGGGCGGCCCCGCCACCGTGCTCATCTCCACACTGGCCAGGCTGCAGCGGCGCTGCTTGTGCTGGCAGGCCGGCCGCACCTTGTCCTCCCCTGGCCGCTTCATGCGCAGGAACCACGCGCACCAGTTCAGAAGAATGACTCTGGTCTGGGGAGACAGCAGTCTGTTAGCAGCAGCGTTGGGAGCACGCACCTGACCATCCCCACAGCAAGGCGAGCCTACGTACCAGCCCTCCTGAGTGGGCACTAGGGCAGAGGGGCCTGCACGCCACCCCAGGTGAGTTTCCCCAGGCAAGCAGTGCCAAGGCATTAGTGGTTAAATCAAATGTGATGAGAGAATAAACCCATGCAGAAAACCACCGTGGCCACAGTTGAATTCTCTGTGGCCGGCACACTGCATGCAATCGGAGGGAGGACAACCATCCTTAAGAGAGGCCATCTTGGAAGGGGGGTCTTGAGCCGTGTGAACCGGGCCAAGCCCCGTGCTCTCTCCCTGTCTGTAACTAGGGACTGTCATACCTAAGTTCCTGTGAGGTACCCCAGTGGGCCACGGTGCTAGGAGATAAAATCACCCCTGGAGATTTTGAATTGCTTCACGACCTCTATCAGACACCACGTGAATCCCTAGTTTGAAGCAGCTCAGACTGTAACGTTAGATGACTATATCCCTTGGCAACGATGTCAGATGACTGCAAGGCAGGTTCCTCAAGTTGTCTTAATAAGAAGCACTTGCCAAGACAGTCAGTGTGGAACAGAAAATGAAGGTAGGGTGCACTCAAGATTTGAGAGGTTGTGCGGTGCCAACAGGTGCTCAGTTATCGAGGCATAAACACTTCTGAAGTTGTTTTGGCCTATTTAATGAACAGTATTGTTAGGTATTCCTTAGGGACTCTGTGAAAAAAAGAAAAAAAAAACCCGAAAACCGAGACACTGAAGGTGCTATGAACTGAGGAAGTTTGGGAACAACTCATTAGGCCACAGCGAAGACTTGAATAAGATGGTTTGTGGGGAAACACTTTGCAAAGTCTACAGCAGGGGCTGGCACACTTCCTTTAAAGGGCTGGTTAGTCACTGTCTTAGCTTTGTGGTCCATAAAGTCTCTGCTGCAACCACTCAGCTCTGCTGGTGGAGTGTAAAATGTGCTATGCCACCATGTAAAGGAGCAAGCATGGCTTTTTTCTAATAAAATTTTATTTGCAGAAGCAGTTGGTAGGCTGGATTTGGCCACAGGGGCCTAAGTTCACTGGCCTATAGTCTAAAGTGTCCTATACATACACATGCAGAGAAGATGCTAGAGAGGAATCTCTGAGATTTCTTGGTTTTTCCCTCTAAGGGACAAAAGGAAGCCATGTGAAGCCTCAACCCAGGTTAAAAAAAATCTTGCAAGCCTATTTAGACAATTGCAGGACAAGTGAGCCTTTTCTCTGCAATTATCCACATATTGATTTTAGTTTTGGTTTAGGGTTGTAGGCAAATTCTGTCAGCAACACAGCAGGTCCATTTCCCATCTGTAAGTACAGGCAGTAAGTTGTGAAGTTCATGTCTGTGGTACTTTCTTGGTAAAGATTTTTATGGCATCTGATTAAAGATAACTGCAGTAGACCGGTCAGGAGACAGGCAGTGAAAAGAACAAGGTGGTATAGGAGCAGTTTCACTGCAGCTGTAAATATAACCCTTTGTTCACAGCAGGTGGGTGACATTCCATATACCCCACCAGTGTGGACAAACCTCCAGAACCTGGGCCTCTCTGCAGACCCTGGAGGGTTTTTCTTGATCAGTAAATAAAAACCAGTGGGGACACATGGCCCACGTGAATCCTCAGGCTAGCTTTGTCCTCTACAGGAGGCTCGTAAGACATGCCATCTCACTTGGGACTCTCAGCGCTCTGAAAAGTGATAATTCCCCCATTTTACAGATAAAGAAGCTGAGGATCGATGAAGCTAATAAATTGGCTCAAAGTCACAGAGTGAGCACGTCACCTAACCTTTCTAGCCTTCTGCAGCCTCATTTGTAAAAGGGTCTACAAGGATATCTTCGAAACTCCGGTGACTTTGGCCCAAACCCCATTTGGAAGTCACTGGAAAGCCTGGACCAGAGCTCAAGGGAACACAGTGATAGTGAATGTGTCCAACCCATAAGCAGCCATGCACACGGAGATCTGGAGAGCTGAGCGGTGCCAGGAGCTTCCGCTATCACATCGGTTGAGGGGTCATCTGTGCGTTCCCCAGAGGCACATCTTAAGCTAATATGATCTATACCACCAGGCCTATTTTGAATTCCATGGCATGAATCATTAGCTTTCAAGGCTAAAGCATCTCAGAAGATGAAATCATCTTCTTGGCACTTATCAAGCTGTCCTTGTGACCTCTCTGTTAGGTTATGGTTGTGTTTCTGGCTGTGCAAATGTCACATAATGCCACCACACTGGCATTACCTTCTTCATAGCAATAGATCATAATAAAAGTCCCTTGGAGGCTGTTTATGTTTCAAATATACATGAAAAGAAAGAAAAACACAGTGTGCTATTTAAAATGAGAGATACAATCTTCATAGTTCATTTACAGCCACTGGTTTTAACATAGTCTTGTGCTTAGTGGTGAATAATTAACATACGCTCTTAAGATTTTTCTGGAACCATAAAGTGCTCCCAGGTCATTAAAAATAGTTGTTTTGTGTCTTCATGTCATAATTCCCTTATCTGTGCATCAGTCTAAACATAAGAACTGAGAATGTGTGTTTATATTTTTGCATATGCATAAACACTGGGAGGAAAAACAAGGAATTAATTAACATGGTCATCAGTATTGGTGGTGGAAGCAAAGTGAGAGGCAGAAATTGGAGGATTTCCTTATGTATAAATTTATTTTCACTTTGACTTTTGAAACATGTAAATGTATTACCTATTTCAAATGTATGGATGGATAGACAGAAAGTATGTTAGGGATACAAGAAAGTCAGTTGAGAATATAAGTGAATGTGTGCAAATTTGTCCCAGCTTTTGAGAGGGGGACCTTCTTAAAACAAGCACACACAAGATCTGTGTGGGAGGCAGCACCATTCTGGGGGCTCACTTTACTGCTGATGCAATGAACTCTGATATAGAGCTGTTATCAGTGTAAGAACTTTCCATGGAGAAGAATCCAAGAGGACATGGTAACTCCATAAAGCCAATTTAACAACAACAACAAAAAAAGGTCTTCCTTCAGTTAACTTTTGGTTAACTGTAAATTATCACACAGTAAATATTTTTAGAAGGCCCAGGAACTCCCTGTGGCTGGAGGTTGACAAAGTGCATCTTAGATCTTGGCAGCTGCATTTAACGAACCTGTGAGTCCTGGACCCCCTTCTGACCTTGGCCCCAAGGTTAATGGGTCTCCAAAGACAGGCTGATTTTGACATGAGAGAGTTCCTTTAGCTCCCAGCTGTCCCTAGGCCACAATCTCTGGGCAGGAAGACTGGAGGTTTACAGGCCCCGTGTAAGAAGCACACAGCATGGCGCTAAGCAGGTGCTGGGAAGGCGGGGCATGCCCTGGGCTCCCACAACAAGGCTGTTATATTCAATCTTTTATTTTTCATCCATTTCCTTGTACCCCATCTTCCTCTCTTCTGGGCACTACTTAATGCATATATTTTCACACAGCTCACTCTATTTTTCCCTCTTTTCACTCATTCTGTGTTGAAGATTCAATGACATGGCTCTGTGCTTATCATGTCTGTTGCTTCCGATCACTGCACAATCCTCCACAGTGTACATGCAAAAAGAAGTTTTAAAAACACTGTGGTAACAAAATATACAGAGCAGTCAGTGTGTGAGCCCTGCCCTCCTGGCACGTTGGTGTAGGAGCGGTGCGGTGGACCCCAGGAGCATGCTCCCTCCAGCTGTACTCCACGCAGTGATACGCAGATAGGGAAGGTTAGTGAGAAACACAGCTCTTTGTGCAGGAATACCAGCTGTTTGTGAGATTTTTAAATGGGTAAGTCATCCTCAGAGCCTCCTTTGGGAAGGGGCCCAGCTCCCCCTGGGGAGGACAGGGGAAACGCACCCACTTGGGCATCTTGCCACCGTCGGGGTCATGGTGGTGGTACTGCAGCACAATCACAGTCACAACCACAGACAGGCCCACGATGATCATGGTGCTGGCGAAGTACTGGGCTGTGGAGAGAGGAGGAGCTGGGTGAGCCCCAGGGGCCCTCCAGGTGGTGTTCTCTGCTGTCAGGGTCTGAGCAGAGAAGGCTGAGAGCAGGACAGGGATGCCTCCAAGCCTGAAGTCCACCACCCACGTTCCTGGCATGAGAGGCTGCCCAGAGCACCGACACCTGCCTTCCCGACCAGGTGAGTAGCCTCACCTAGCTGACTGCACTTTCATGAACTCTGCCTCCTCCTTTCATAAGAAGAGTTAATAGTTCCTCAGCAGTCTGTGACAAGCTCTTCCTATCAAAAAGCATGTGGATAGTTATCAGAACTGCAAACACCTGGACACTGAGGGTGTGGTCACCACTGTGATAACTGCAGTTCACAGGCATGCTCTGGGGGTGTAACAACTGAACCTGGGCATCACCTGGCAGACTCCTCAGGCCTGGCCCCTTAGAACATTAGTGCGGAAAATGAGTATGGCCCCATCTACCAAGAGACACAGCATAGGGGTGGCTGCCAGCTGCCCAGCCTAAATATGAGGTCAGCAGCTGTGACTTTCCAGGCCAAGAAATATCAGCTTCAGCTTGGATGGGTAATGATGCATTTACCCACCTTGCCCCAGTTGAGAAGCAGTATGAGGCATGGGGAAAAGTCCCCTTTACCTCCCATCTACGGACTACCACCTGTGAGTGGACAGGCCATTCAGCCTCTCTGAGCCTCAGGCTCTTCACCAGTATAACAGGATGGAAATGCCTTCTTTGCAGGGTTGGTGCAGCAATTATATGAACCAAGGGTCTAGGAGAAAGCCTGGCAGGGTGAGGCATTCCTTAGTTGACAACTCTGACCATCAACCTTTGGCATGGCTGTCTGCTCAAGGGGGCTGAGCTAAATGCAGAAAGCGTCCTGGCACAGAGGCTAAGTGGATGGCCACACCTGGTTAGACAGGAAGGGACTCACTGTCCTGCAGAGACAAAGAGGTACCTGCGTGGATCTGACAGATGTAGACATTTGAGACTTAAACTTGGCATCAGACACTTCCAAGAAGGAAAAAGAGAAACAAACCACGAATATTATGGGCTGAACTGTGTCCCCCTGAAATTTGTATGTTGAAGCCTTAACCCCCAGTACCTCAGAATGTGATTATATTTGGATATGGGACCTTTAGAGAGGTGATTAAGTTAACCTTACAACATGCAGGAGAGATTTGAACATACAAAGGGGCAGCTGGGATGCACACAGAGGGAAAGACCATGCGAGGGGCTCGCAGGAGGGTGGACATCTACAAGCCAAGGAGAGAAGCATCCAGAGAAACCAAACCTGCTACCACCTTGATCTTGGACTTCCAGCCTCCAGAACAGTGAGCAAATATACCTTTGTTATGTAAGTCACCCAGTCTATGGAATTTTATTATGGCAGCCTTAGTAAACTAATACAATGACTTTTGAAGGGATCCAGGGTCAAAGGCCACCACAGCTAAAATCTCAAAAACAGAGGTCAGGGGCCAACAGCATCCCAATCTTCTAAGCATGGGCTATGCATCAACCAGGCCTTTCCCTCTAGGGTCATGGATCAAGGCAAGGCCTGTCAACTGCCACATTAAGGGTGCTTTCTATTACAAGGCTCTGTTGAAAGGACTGTGTTGCAAGGCAGAAAGAACAGGGTTGGCAGAAAGACTGTCAAGTTGAATGGTGGTCTGCCCTCTCTGGATGATACTAAAATAAATATGACTCCCACAAAGGTTTTTCATACTAACAGTCTCTCTGATCAAAATATTACACATAGAGGGAGTGCCACAAAGAAGAGGCTTGGCTTCTTAGTTGGTGAAGCCTGGGGTATCCATGTAAGGTTCCCCCACAGCTACCCACCCCTTGTTGACCACACAGCACAGTTCTCGGGTGGCATGGGCCGGAAGGAATCATCACAGACTGCATTCAGGCTTCTGACCTCTACCATCAAATAGAGGTGAAGACTTGTTCATTAAACCTCACATCCACTGGCAGAATGTTTGCTTCCCAAACTAACTGGCTTGGAGGTCTGTTTCTCTGACCTGAACCCTGGCTGCAGTGGTGAGGGTGCCAGATCCTAACCACTGAGCACCCTTTGCATGTTCCTGCTTATTCCAGTCCAGGGGGGAGCACAGCAATGACCAATGCTGCTTCCTGCTTCTGTGGTCCCTCCCTGGGTAGGTCATGCCTTACCTTTGTCTTGACCAAAACATATTTGTCCTATTCACATTCCCTCTTACCTGCTTTAACTATCCAGAGACATCAAGTTATCTCAGGAAACAATGCCTAACAGTTACAACACTGCCTTAAAGAGGTCCTCACATTTTGACAATGGATTTCTGGAAAAACAATGACTCTAGCTAAAATAATGAATCCTTAATGGTAAAATGTCTGGCTCCATCTTAAGTGTGAGGAAAAGAATTATGGGAGGAAGGGTGCACCTTAAAACCAAGACCCAAAGCTGAACTCCCCACCCCCTTATATGTGCCCAGGTGAGCAGAGGCCATGGGTTACTCTGAGTAGTTCTAGAGAGTCATCGCCTCATGGCAGAAAATGGGCTCTGCAGCTCTCCAGGGCCCTGGAGGACAATGCTGTTCTGTGCCTGGGCTAGGACATCCTGGGCACTCTCCAAGCCCATGTCTTTTTGAGGGCCGGACGCTTGCTCACCTATCAGGGGCACTGAGTCGGATGTTGCAGGCATGATCTCTGCCACCAGCAGCATGAAGACAGTGAGAGAGAGTAGAACCGTGATCCCTGCAACAAAAACAGAGCAGCACCTGAGAGGCACACGGTGAGGCCTACATCCCACCTGCCCAACCTGGGACGCAAGGGGCCGGTGTGGGAGCGGAGGGAGCGGTCGGTGGCTTTCCTGAAGTGAAGGCATGGTGCTCTGTACATATGGCCATGGGCATTTCCAGGGGTCAGCCCATGTCATTTGCCAGAGTCCCAGAGGAGGCCTGGTGGAGACAAGTTTACGAGCCAGAACTTGAGGACAACAAAAAATGAATCATTGAACCCAGGGAGTTCTCTCTCGTTTTCTTTACTTCACTAGTATTGAGAAGTAATTTCATGTAGCAGGAGAAAGAAACCATGCAGCCCAAGGACCTGGCTTCTGGCCTTGACTTTGCTGCATTAGCTGTGTGACCTCAGATAAGTTGTTTAACAGCACCCGAGGCTCAAAGTCCGAACATACAAGTTTGAGAATGATTTGTACGTGTACTAAATATGATCTTTAGTGACTCTCAGAGATGTTGAGAAACTCACGTAACCACTCTGAGTTGCCTTATCTTTCGCTGGGCTGATCAAAAGGAATACTGGCTAAGCAGTGTACAAATGCAAGCTGAGGGTAGGCTAAACAAACTGAACCTCTTCCTGTCCACAACCGCCGGTCACCCCCAAGGAACAGAGTGCGTGGCAGTATCCCTCCCTGAGCATCCCCAGCCTCTGCAGAGGGTTCAGAGGATGCTAGCATCTCGGGAGGGTGCAGCCATCCAGAAAGGGGCCTGTGGTGTCAGGGAGATGTCCAGGCTGGAAGGTCAGTGTACGATGGGCCAAGGAGGCCCTGCACCATCCCTGCATCTGCAGCCCCAGTGTGCCCTGTAATGTGCACAGTGATCCTCAAGGCAGGAAGGGCCCTATCACCCATCGCAGACTCCTGCCAAAGAGCCAGGCACTTACCGAGGGAGATTTTCTCCCCTGAATCTGCAGGGAGCAAGAACACAAGGAGAGCCAGCGCAGAGATAAGCACGCAGGGGATGAGCAGGTTGAGGCCATAGTAGAGGGTCCTGCGGCGAATGGTCACCGTGAAGGTGACATCCGGGTAGGGCTCTTTGCAGCACTCATAGAACTTCTCACTCCGCTTGCCTGGGATGCCTGCATGGGGAGGGGAGGAAAGCAACCGTGGTCTGAATAATATTAACCTCTTTGTTTATTTTAAAGGGCATGCAATACAAAATAGCCAAGGAGTTCATTAAGGGCTAAAAAAACAGCAAGTTGAACACATCGGTGTTTGAACAAAACTGGCGTTTGAACAAATCAGTGTTTCTGGTTTATTACAGAACTGTTTAGGACTATCTTAGCAGTATCTGAGCAAACTGGAAGATTTTTTTTAATGAATTGGAATTACAGGCATTATAGACTGAGTGTCTGTGTCCTCCCAAAATTCGTATGTTGAGCCCCTAACCCCCACAATGCTGGTATTTGGAGGTGGGGATTTTGGGAGGTGCAGATTCCCTCATGAATGTGCCCTTCAGAGAGCTCCCATGAACCTTCTGCCATGTGGCAACACAGCCGGAAGACAGACAGCTACGAACCAGGAAGCAGTTCTGGCTCCCACCAGACACCAAATCTGCAGGTGCCTTTATGTTGGACTTCCGACCTCTAGAACTGTGAAAAATTAATGTCTGTTGTTTATAAGCCACCCAGTCTATGGACTAATGAACTAAAACACCATGATTATAAATAACACATTGTAAGCTTTATACCATTATAAATGTAATTATCATTTTTCTATTTAAGATCATCAAATATAGGTGCCCCTCAACAGCAATTTGCTGTCCAACCTGATTTTAGAAATGGAGAGGACCTGAATACTAAAGCGATGCCTACACTAGCACTACTTTTTTAAATGTGTCGTTACCATAACTGCAAGTTCCTCGTGCAAAGCACTGAATTTTCTAATTGTTGTTTCCCATCCCAGAGCTCTCAGAAAATTACAGAGAATCCTGCAGGGTTCAATAAATGCTCACACTGAAAAGCAGAGTGGAAAGTCCTGAACTTTTTAAGCTAGCACAGGAATAAAGCAGCCTTTTTCTAGGCTGCTGGTCTCATGTCTTTGCTGGGCTTACCCACAAGGTCCCATTCTCCATTCGGGATATAGCCACTGACATCTGCCTCCTGCATCTGTAGATCCAAGGACCACCCTCCATAAGACCAGGACCCAAACTTCAGTTTGCAGTGCTGGACATCAAAGGGGAACCAGCGCACGTCGATGTAGCAGGAGCTCTTGAATATACCTACATGGGCAGCAGGAAGAGTTGGAAGACTGAAATGGGAGCTGACTGAGATGTACTTTAAATACATAATAGTCACACGTTGTTAGTAGGCATGTGAATTGCTGCAGCCATTGTGGAAATGGTATGGAGGTTCCTCAGTAAATTAAAAATAGAACTATCATATGACCCAGCAATCCCACTTCTGGGTATATATCCAAAGGAAGCAAAAACACTATATGGGAGAGATATCTGTACTCCTATGCTCACTGCAGCATTATTAAAAAATAGCCAAGTCTCCTTGATGGATGAATAGATAAAGAAAGAGAAATCAATCATATATATATATACACACACACACACACATTCACATATGTAATATCACTATATATATGCTATATATATACTATACATATATCCGTATATGTATATCAAATATCACTATATATACACACACACACATACATGCACACATATTCATACAATAGACTATCATTTAGCCTTAAAAAAGATGGAAATCCTGCCATTTGCAATAATATGAATGAATCTGGAGGACACATGCTATGTGAAATAAATGAGACAAAGACAAATATTTCTGTATGGTATCACTTATATATAGAATTAAGAAAAAGGCCTCATAGAAACAAGGAGTAGAATGGAGTTGCCAGGGGCTGGGGCAGGGTGGAAAAATGGAGAGGGGGAGGTCAAAGGTACATACATGGTGGATACATTCAGAAGATCTAATGTACAGCATGGTGACTATAGTTAGCAATACTGTTCTGTATACTTAAAATTTGCTGAGAGCAGGTATTAAGCATTTTTACCAAAAAAAGAAAAAAGTGACTGTGAGGTGATATATATTATTTTAGATATGTAATAATGTAATATAAATATAATTAACTACATAATAATTTGCAAAAATAATTTCACAGTGTATACATATATTAAGTCATCACACTGTCCATTTTAGATATATCACAAATTCATTTGTCAACTATACCTCAAGAAACCTGGAAAAAATTAATAAATAAATAAATAAATAGCGATCCCTTGATCTCTATCCTCATATGCTGTTTCATAATATGCAATGTCCACCCCTCATGGAGTGAAAACTTTAGCAGCCTGATTAAGTGTGACTGAATTAGATACATTATTTATGATGTTGTGCATGTCATTTTGATCAGTCTTCGTGTTCATATCTTTCTGGCCCACTCCCGCTCTCTTCAAGAGGGAGTGATGTGGGCACCAGAGCCTCTTGACTCTAAGGACTTCAGCTTGTCCTGCTCCTCCAAACTGCAGCCAGACCTGTCCAGAACAAGGTGGGTCTTTTCTTGAAAAATCCAGAGAAAAGAATCTCTTTTTTCTTTTAAAATTCCAAGACAACATCAGCATGCTCTATTGAAACCTTTTCTGAGGAATTTTGTGCCAAGATTAGAAATTCTGCAAACTTGCTCTTACCATGAATGCACATCAGCAAACTCTAAATAAGGGAATAGCAAAGAATGTAAAAAAAAACCCAAGGAAGTTGGTAAAAATGATGAAGGGCTTATTAGAAACAGAATCTGAAAGGGTGTGTGCGTGTGTGTGTGTTTCGTAGGGACAAGGTTGGGCATTTTTCCTTAGGTTGAATATTGGGGAAATACTTGGTTATTTAGAAACACACATGGAGGATAATTGTTATTAGTCTGAATTCTAGATTAAGAATAGAACAAGGACCGATAGGTTTCACTGAAGAGTTAGTGCTTGGACACAAGCAAGTTTCCACTGAAAAGGTGATTCCAGTCTAGTTGGAAATCAATTTTCCGCCAGGTCACAGAGAAGAGACCAGATATGCCCATTCTAGCAGTCTATGCTCATGTGCTCTTCCCTGCCCAGGAAGATGGGAAGGTGGTGGAAGGCACAAATAACTAAATGTCCAAGTACTCTCTGGGGCAGGGCAGGCACTCTGTAAGTTTCTGCTACCAAATTAAAGAATGAATAGAAAAAGGGACTCAACAGCCTTGCAAACATGGACCCCCGACTTCCAACCAAATTGGAGAAGGAATATAAATTTCCTGTCCCCTTGAGTTCCTTCAAATAGGACTTGCAGCATTACATGAAATGCTCATAGGAATCTCGACTCTATTACTAGACTAGATCCCCCAAACCAGTACTGCTTGTAGAAAATGTAACTCTGCACCTAAATTATTCTATTTCTATGAAATCACCAAAGAGAATCTCTGGAGACAAAAAGGTCAGTATTTGCCTGGGGCTGGCTCTAAGGAAGGGATTAATTGCAAACAGGCCGAAGGGATCTTTTTGGAGTGATGGAAAATGTTCCAACACTAGATTATGGTAATGCCTGCACAACACTGTGAATTTACTAAAAATGACTGAATCCTGCAATGAAGTGGGTGAATTGCATGATACGTAAATTACACTGCAATAAAGCTGTTAAAAAAAAAGAATATGAAACGGAACAAAAAAAGTCAGCTCATAACCAGGTCTCTATTTCAAAACTTGCACCAGAATGCTCTTTCTGCCTGAGCACAGCCTCCCAGGGCAGTTGTACACTACTCCAGGGCCCAGGCGTGCCGTCCAGGGCAGACAGCTCCACACAGCTCCTCACAATGTAGGGGAGACTCCCACCGTCAGCGCACAGTGTGTCCTGTCCTGACCTGGCTCCTGGGGCCTTGCAGGCCAGGACACAGGAACAAAGCCCCCAGAGGGCGCTGCAGCACACAGGTGGCTCCGGGCTCAGGAGTGGTGCTCCCGTAGCTGAAAATAGCCTCAGGCTTCAAAACAATCCACAACACGCTATTACTCTACACTGATGACTACTGGAGGTCATTTTCTAAAACAGCCCTCATAACAGAAGCTGCACCTTAAGGCCTGGTTAATAAGAACATACGTTCTGTGATAGAAGGTCTGCCCCAGGGCCCCATTCTGCAGGGGGCCTGCTGTTAGGCAGAAAGCATGCTTAGCCTGCGGAAGGAGAGTAAGAGCTGTGGGAAGCAGGGGCGCTAAGATAGAAAAACCTGAAAATCTGGAGTTCATCAATCTCTACAAACATTACTGGGAAGTATCTGCCTTTGATGGGTTCAATCCTCTCACATTCATTTATTGAGGTGGGCCAGGCACCTGCCTGATCAATGGTGGCCTAAAGCAAGAAGCACAGAATCTGCCCATGGGATGCTTATCATCTGCTGAGGAGAGAACAACATGTAAACAACAACCCAGAAGGCTAGCCAGCTTCTCTGTGTGCTGCGAGATGAATCAGAAGGTGTGAGACTGAGGCAGAGAGCTGGAGGGGGTGTGTGTGCGTGAGTGCATGTGCGTGAGACAGTGTGTGATGTGTGTGGAGCTGCATGGGGGGGGTGTGCATGTGTGGTGTACGGTGTATGGCATGTGTGTGTGTATTGGTGGTGCGGTAGGGGGAAGCTGGAGATCGCCTGGGAGCAGGAAGTTGAACAGTTGCATTGGGGGAGATAATCCTGGAAGAGAACATGTAAAAAATCATCTAAAAGACTTATAAATATCTGTTAATATCCACATACCTCAAGGCCTTAAAAGCTATGTTTCCCATGCTCGGATTACTCTGAGCGGCCAAGGGCCCAGTGACCTGACAGAAGTGATGGTGGCAAAGGCGCCAGCCCCAGGAAGAGGTTAACCATCAGCTGGTTGAGAGGGGGAAGAGGAGCTCATTTAGGCCTAAGTCACTAATGAGCTCCCCTTTGAAGCCACTTATCTTGAATCTCACACACAAGTGCTCTTTAATGCGCACTCTCAAGAAGCTGGCCCAGCAACTTCCCCATCTCACCTCCAGCACCTTGGGGGCAGCACCTGCCGAGGTACACAGTCTGGAGGGAAGGAAAGCGCGACTGGCTGAACTGGAGAGAACCAGCCTGGGCACTTGCCCTGCAGGCTGTGGGGAGAGCTGGAAATGGCCTGATGAGGGAGGCTCAGTGTGGCTGAGGATTAATTTTAAAAACATAGGACAGACACTAAGGGAACATGACACACGTTGGCAAAGACAACTGCAGCCACGATCCCGAGGCAATAAAGGGGGAAGATGCTCCTGCCACATTCAGGAGCTATGTGCTAGCACAGAGGAGGAGAAAACAGGATGGGATGTGGCTGAGCAGGGGCAAAGGATGCCCAGGGCACAGCTAGGCCACTACTTATGTAAGCACAGTCCCCCAAACTTGCTAAAACTGTCTCAGTGTAGGAGGACAAAGGTCATGGGTCTTACCTGGAGGGATATACTGGCAATACCCAGAAGAATTCACTAGCACGTTGGTGTGGAATGTGGCATCAAATCGCTCATCAGCACTAGAAACAGGAAAGGACTTTGTGAGTTGTGCTGGCAGGCAGTGCATTTCCTGAGGCCCTTAGGTTGGCCGTGACTAAGGCTGGAACAGCTCTGAGAGGTGCTCCTGTATGCCCGGGCCTGAGAGGACCACCTGCAGGGGGCTTGGGAGATCTAAGCACAGGTTGAAGGGGCTAGTGTCCACCCCCAGTTCATAGGAACTGTCATTTTTTTCATATAAAACAAATTTCTTGGTAAGAGTAAAACCAAGACAGTTTAGGAGGACCTCGACAGGTGAGAAATATCAATCTGTCTGCAGGAGACAGAGAGTGGGTGGGAGCCTCTGTGAGCCCCAGGGAAACAGGGGTGTTGATGTTTCTGTCTTCAGATCTCTAGCTCCTACCTCTTGGATGACCCAAATGCTTGGCTGGTGCTTAACAAATACATCTTGAGTGACAAAAGCTGCAAGTGCAGGGGGGAGCTGGGCCCCAGTAGGGCCCCTGTGGGGTCCTGGGCTCCGTGATCAGCGATGACAGGAAGGACGACAGTGAAGACAGCAGAACTGGCTACATTTTAGATAAATGCACCCCAGCCCCCTCCCGGGCCCATGTTCAGAACCTCCTGCAGTGTAGAGTTGCCACCTTGAATAAACTGTTAGGGGGTAGGCAAAACAGGAAGAAAGAGCAACAATTAAACCCAACAGCTCTTACTGTCTATGTCT